AATGCGAGCGATATTTATATTCTGTAAGTGGCTGCCCACTTAAACTGTCCTGCTATAATCCTGGTGGATGCGCAGCATATTTATGCGCAATGTATTGGACCAAACAGAAAATATTAATGATCAGATACTCGATTTATCTGTAAATATCTTGAGTATACTCTTGTGTATGAGGAACCCAAGTTTAGGGTATCGATGTTACACGCATGCGTATTGCGTACATTGTGTCTTGCGCGTCAACCTCATTTTGCGGCCGACAGCATGACCCGTGGCGTCGTTTGAATAGGCACGTATCGCTCATTATAACAACGCTGGTTGTTCAGGTCTCATGACCTTCAACTTATGAGACAAACCATAAAATGATTACGTTAATTGCAGATGACGCCAAAGGGGCGTAAATTATTCACATCCCTGATTGTATTCATGGTTATTTAAAAAGGAAGGGTCGTCGTCGTCACCTGCGCACGCGCGGGAATTGAGTCCCAAGCGATGATAACAACACATGCTAAAATCGCACATTATCGTGGGTAAACGCTTGTTTGTGAACAATGATACGCTATGGCCATCTGACGCATGCTCGGTGACGACTACCCCGCTTTAAGCATGTACGCGTACTGCAGATGAAGCAAACAAACAAGGGGCCGCGGTGTTTCGGGATTAGGCAATCTATGAGGGATTTGTTTGGATAGTAATAGAAAAGTTGATCCTTCAAAAATGTGTTTATGCAAATAGACCTTTCAACTGACAGCATTAGGGCGAAGCAGTGTGTGTTTTTTTGTGTTTTGTATCGAATTGTCGTGGTATAAGTCGTCAATCTAACCTCGTAGCCACACTGTTTTAAGTGTTATAGCCATAATTATGGTCAGCATTTTCAATATGTAAGCCGTAAGTGTGGCTGTTATACAACACGGCTACATGTTCCGATTAAAGGGCGGTGGTCGTCGTGCTACGACCACCACCCTTTAACTATAAAAACGGTGTAAGAGAAGGCAAAACAAGTGGTGAAAGATTCAACACTTCAGTCACCAACGCTATGTAAGTGTTGTTTTTTTTCAAATGTGGAAAATTTGCGCAAAAAGAATGATCACACCTCTTTCATTTCATCTAATTTTTGGTTTTTAGTTTCTTTTGAAATAATTATTCCTTAAACGCTAATCTAAATTACCTTACTGCTACATTGAGATGTGCTTTTTTCATTAATTTTATAGTCTGTCCACTAATTGGCAATCATAACTCCCCAAACGTGTATTAGTCGCATTAATCGAAGCAAAAGGACTTTATGTTTTAACCTCATGCAAGGCATTCCATTATATTTCAATAACTATGACCTCATTAATATGCATAAATGTAATGCTAAGCCTTTGGCTAGCGAAGGGGTATATATGACCTCATTAATATGTATAAATATGATGTCAAGCCTTTGGCTAGCGAAGGAGTATCAATGACCTCATTAATATGCATAAATGTAATGCTAAGCCTTTGGCTAGCGAAGGGGTATATATGACCTCATTAATATGCATAAATGTAATGCTAAGCCTTTGGCTAGCGAAGGGGTATATATGACCTCATTAATATGTATAAATGTAATGCTAAGCAACCTATCATAGGTGTGTTGGGTGGGCATTTTCCAACCATGATAAGGTACACGGCAGTAATAAAATAACATGCTTTTTGTGTTTTTAAATCATAGAATGGCCAGTGAATGCGGTGACAATAAACAAGTTGATATTACTGATGTAGATTCAAATGTTGACATGGAAGCATCCACCAACAAAATAGAAGGTCAACATTGTAGAAAAATGGACTTTATGGAACAATTGTCATGTTCACTTGAAGGAAGTGGAACAAATGTTTCAATGCCTTTTGTTGTGGAATCCAAATATCCACTGACAGAAGACATACTGAGAAAATCAGCCATTTTGTTGAGTAGGCGCCATCCTTTGCTTCGATCGAAGGTGATTAAGGAAACCAAAGCTGGATCATCGAAGATTGAACTGTTTTTTGGCCCGATGGATGAAAAGGATGTGGTTGATATCAGGACGGTGGATCAAATTGATTGGGCTGATACACAAGCTGCAGATGGGACAATATTACATAATTGCGAAACAGGACCATTGTGGCGTATCTGGTTTATGAAGAGCATTGAAATATCGAAAGAAGAAAGCGAATTTGGCCATCAATACAGAACCAATCTTGTACTTGGCATACATCATGGTATAATGGATGGGAATTCTGGAGTACGGTTGATTGACGATCTACTCACTTTCCTTGGAATGGTTCATGATAATCCTGATGATCTGCCCAGTGTGGAGAGTCTTCCATTGATACCAGGTTGTTACGACTTGATGCCACCACGGTCAATTACTTTGCCATGGTACAAAATATACAAGTTGATTGCGATGGGATTGAAGGGAATGACATCATCAAAACAGAATATGTATGCGAAGTACAACAAAGAGTCACTTGACAGTAGAAGTGATTGTGAACGACAAGTACATATACATCCCCTGATTTTTGATAGAGCTTTAACATCAAAGATTGTCAGTCAATGTAGAAAAAATGGAGTCACTGTAAATTCAATGTTTATGGTTGCATCGGCCATTGCAGCTGCTAAGTTTATTCTAGGTGATAATGCCCGTCCTGGAAAGAAATACTGCATGCCTGCACTCTTTGCTGTGAACATGAGACGATTTCTCCCGCAACATCCGGGTGACAACCATATCTCTGGTTTCTTCTCTAATACCGGATGTGATTTTAAAGTTCCAGTAGTTGTCACACCCGAAGAATACTGGAAAATCACTAAAGCCTACCATCGCAATTTACTCTCTCGTATAACAAATGATTCACTTCTAATGGCCAAAATCATTAATTTTCTCGTTAGCGTAGGCGTTGACCCTATTAAGAAGATGATGGGCGATCTAAAGAAAACGCCTTATGGTCTAATGCCAAGCACCTACTACATGTCAAACGTGGGTAGGTGTGATTTTGTAACGAAAGAAAATGGCCGCCCGTTTGAGCTTTCCCAGGTTTACATGTGTGTTTCGATGATTGACTATTCACCTTTGTTTGTTCACAACATATTTTCCATTCATGGAAAGATATTGTGGGGAATTATACACTGTAATCGCATCATGGGCGTAGAGAGTGTTAAGCAATATGCTGATTCTATAAGGGAGATCATAACTATGGTATGTAAAGACAGTGAATAGAGTATAATATATCATACTTTTGGATTTGCATCAATTCACCGTTTACAACTATACGATATATGCTCTACTATTATATAATCTAAAAGTAGATGTACGCATTGTGTTTTGTATTCTGGCAAACATGTGAATTCAATTTTCTTGAATGGCGTATACATGTGCCATCCCTATTACTATTTTGGATGGAGTCATCACTATTACACTTTGTACATACTTTTATTTTACAAACAATATATATTCGGGCAAACAACACAGGTTCCTGTATATTATATCTCTCACAGTCAATAATAATCCAACGTTTGAGACAATTACAGTGTTCCGATTGTGGGTTATTGTTTTTTTGAAATAACGTAATCAAGTATGCAATTTTCACATCTACGTGTTACTCAGCAATCACGTGTAATCCCATTTAGTCTACTTATACCGTTAATTTTAATTGTTAACACATACCTATTGTTGTTGTTGTTGTTGCAAACTCTAGTCATGCTCAAAATAAAACTCAGGCAGTTGATCAAATGAAATGAAGTTTTAATTTTTAGTTAGTGTTGAATAGATACAATTATCATGTTTGCATTCAATGTTCGTAATGTAATAATCAAGACTGTCCACACTCGTACACCAAAACCATAGTCATTTATTTTCTTGTATTTCACAATGAAAATAGCATTTGAATATATGTTATATATAGCTATGTATTCAGTTTAAAAAAAAATACATTTACCATTGAAAATAAAAAAAAAACAGTATCAACAACCTTTAACCCGTACATTCCTTTGTTTATTAATTTCAGTAATTGATCACCAAGGAGTAAAATAGTAAACATGGGTGGGATAACTGGTTATTTATCAAATGGTTATTTATCAATCTGGTTGTGTTGTTCGTTTCAGCTGTACACAATCCCCTAATCTGAATAAATTAGGATCCTAATTTGAGTTTTTTATTATATTTTATTTTTATTTTCATTTCTATATTTATGTTTCAATATTTATTTTTCATATATTTAATTTTAATTTCATAATTTCAATTTGTTGGTTTAAAGTTTTGATAATCGCGAAGGCAATATGTGACAGTCAGTAGTTAAAATAATAAAGTCACAGTTAATGACGCAGTCATTAGGAAAAATGTGATTTATGTTCAAGATATAGCCCCAAACAAGATGGCTTCAAGTCTGTAATCTTTTATCAGATCACAAATTGAATTTGTATGGATATGTATTGCTACATGCGTAATATATACAATCAAATTGAATATGCAAATCACTGATCATGTGACCACATAAATTGTTTCTGAATAAATTTGTAGTGTATGGCAAAAAAGACAAATCAACAAAGCCACGCCACGTCATGAGAAGATTCAATAGCAGTAGGCCCCCGGGTACATATCAAAGATACACCTCGTCCTCTGATAGCATATATGTTTTTCTATTTGGGCGGAACTAGGCTAGAAAAGAGTTTGGAATACAGCAGCCATATAGGTTATGCATGCCATATCAATTGTAACCAGTCATGTACAAGGCCAATATTTACTTGAAGTATATAAATAGGAGACGAAACCTATCTTCTTTAGTTCGTTCAATAAAGTCATCTGTTGCAGTTTCATGCGCGGTTTCATTCTTCCATTCCTGAACCTGGACTAGTCCTACTCTTTTTAACAATTCCCACAAAGCTCTCGACTTTCTCTCCTGTCAGTTCCATCTGCGTGTTGCAATTTCTCGAGTGAAAAAGTGTCAGCTTTGAGGTGAAATGAAAATCTCTGAATGTTTTCGATTTTTATTTCGCTAATCATGGTAATTCTGAGTTCGCTACAAATATATTTTCCTTGCGACGTTGTTTTGTGAAAAGTCATGGAAAGTTACGTCCGAAAGTGGGGGATATTTCGCCAGATTTGTTTTCCTGATTGTACTAGGAAAACACCAGGAGCATTGCAATACCAGTTAACCATTTCATATGCCTGTAGGTCTCAATCTGAAAATATTATGTTTCCCACACCATGCTAAGCTGGTACATACTATGTTGTAATAATTCAACCCCCACTCCAAGCGCCTAGCATCACTATCAGTCGGGTACTTTGTTACACCCCTAGTGGTGTTATGGCGAAACCCCAATAACTCGAAAGTCAGGAATTGAGAATGAATAATAGACTGAACTAATATTAACAAAATCAGATTTATTAAATGACTTGTAAATTTGCAATATAATATATGGTCACTAAATTTATATATTCGATTTACTAGTATTATTTCGGATATGTATGTAATTTTTGTATTCAAACGCCATATTATTTGTCATGGCATCACCCAATGACACACTTTCTACATTGTTTGGCGAGGAAATAGGGCACTTTACAATTTAATGAGAACGACGAAGCACAACTAAAACATGAATATGTATGTACCAAGTGACTAATATACAATGTATGTTGAGAATATACAACTTGCAGTGTCAGTTAAAGTTTACTCATACACATAATCTATTGTACGAGCTAATATGCATCTCAGGAGAAAATCTTGCCGTTCATTTCAAGCCAGGATAAAAGATCTATGTACATTTTATGAACGAAGATGGCTGCCTGTTGGCCAGTTTAGATCTGATCGCGAAATGAATTATCGTGGACATGAATCTCATCTTTTATAATGTATGTACTTAATGTTAACAATAACCAACAAAGCAGGTTCAAGATACCACATTTTCAAAAACGGCTGCCAGTCGGTCATTATCATTAAATCTCTACATGTACAAATGTCCCACATAAGTACTAAGTACGTGCAAAGAATGGATAGATTCGGTCCAAATGGTTTTGAAGTATACAAAAATGTTGAACTTAAAACTCGAATTAGACAAACCAAACAATAGATGTATAAAAAATAAATTACCCTTTTTCAAAATTTTGGCAAACATTTTGAAAAAAAAAACAGTCTGAAAAGTTGCCGGGCTTAATCTGCTCTCTACTCCTGTATATGTACTGTAATTTTATGCATATCACGCGGCATGAATATACTCTAATAATTGTATACCAAAGGCCAGTAGATTTCTATGTATGTTATTATATAAATTGAAAAATAAATGACAATCATTGCTGACTGTCGTGCTATATTTATTCATATTTACGATATCATGGCGTTGTTATATTTACATAGTTAATAAATTACAAATGTGAGTTTTCTAATATTTTGAAGAGCTTAACAAATGCAATAAAAATATTTTCATGGATTTGTATGTTGTTGCCAATTTGAAATTGTAATTTAAATAATTAATGATAAATTGCTAGTGTATATCTCTTAAAAGTGACTAGGTACCATTTCCTGACTAATATATCCATCTACTTAATATAGACGTTCTACTTAATAATTGATGTCATCATTTTACATTGTAGAATGGCAGAAAATTATGATTGCAAATCCAGCGACACATCCTCGCCTTCTCCACCGAGCATTGCAGTGAGAGAAGAACGGATTGGTAGGAAGATGGATATAATGGAAAACATGTCATGTGGTGTTGTAGGAACTGACATCAATGTTACTCTGCCCTTTGTTGTTGAGTCTAATGTGCCCCTGACAGAGGTTCTTCTCACAGGAGCTGCTGTACTGCTTACTCGACGACACCCACTGTTGCGATGTAAAATCACCAGGGAAATGAATGCTCACACACGGAAGGAAGAACTGTATTTCAGAGAGATGGATGAAAAGGACCACACGGATGTCCGCATAATTGATAGTGTTGATTGGGCTGAAACACAAATTGCTGACGGAAAAGCATTGTATGACTATGATAACGGCCCTCTTTGGAGGTTATGGCTTTTAAGATCTATTGAGATATCCTTGGAGGAGCGGGAATTTGGTCATCGGTACAGAACCAGTATTGTCCTTGGTATGCATCATGGCATCATGGATGCAAATTCAGGAATGAGATTGATTGATGATCTACTTACTTTCCTCGAAATGGTTCAAAATAATCCCGATGATTTTCCCAGTGTGGATAGTCTTCCATTTATTCCAGGTGGATACGACTTGATGCCTCCACGCTCAATACACATGCCATGGTATAAATTCTACAAGGTGTTTGGAGCAGGGTTAAAGGGGTTCAACAAGTCTAATACTAATCAATATGTGAAGTACCACAAAGATGATATTGAGAGCAGAGTAGATTCTGAGCGAGGGTCACGAATACATCCAATCATCCTGGATTCATCGTTGACAGCAGAGATAATCAGCCAATCTAAAAAGAACGGAGTGACTGTGAATTCAACTCTTACAGCAGCATGTTCCATTGCTTCAGCTAAGTTTATTCTGGAAAAAAGATTCCGCCCTGGGAAGAAATATTCCATGCCATGCTCCTTCTCTGTGAACATGAGACGATTTCTTCCAGAACACCCTGGAAATGAGCATGTATCAGGATTTTTCGGCAACGCAGAGTATACTGGCAAGGTATCTACATTCAACACTCAAGATGAATTCTGGAGAATAGCTAAAGTCTATCGTGGTGACTTGCTGAGAATCATTAACAAGGACGCAATTGAAATGATCAAACTATTTAATTTCATAGTATCAATGGGTGTTGATCCTATTAAACTGGTCGTGAACATGATGAAGAAATGTACATACAGGCTAGCGACTGCTGCATTTCACATTTCCAACATGGGTAGATGTGATTTCGTGGCGAGGGAAGGTGGGCGCTCATTTGAACTGGCCGAGGTTTACATGAGCCTTTCCGGTACCAGTTTTTCCGCATTAATAGTTAATAATATCTTCACTTTTCATGGTAAGATGTTCTGGAGCCTAGTATATTGCAATCGTATCATGAGTGGCGAACGAGCTCAGCAGTATGCTGATTACCTTACAGAGATTCTCAAGATGGCATGCGGGAAAGACCACAATACTTAGTACGTAAAGGATCATTATTGAATCATAATTAAACAATTTACACTTTGTCTGTGATACTGTTAATTTTGATGGATTAGTTATTGTGAAATGTAACATGCATTTCTAGTAGTATATCTCGTCAGCAGTGATTGGTTAAAAGTAGCCACTGACGTATTGTATTATAATGTAGTTGTAGTGATCGCCAACTTTCGCATGGCATTATGTTTAAATTGTGTTTTTACTGTAAGTAAGTAAGTAATAAATCGTAAGGTAACTATTATTTCATGTATTAAAACGAAATATGTATAATATCTGCATGGATGAGATTTACAGATCAACCGATATTCGTATCATAAAGCTACTTAATGCTAACCTGCGATCATAGTATTTTCAGCTGCATCTTTCTAATCAGATTTAATCTTTTCAAATAATCATTAATGATTACGTACGTTTTCCTCATAAGTAGTTTAGGCGACACTATAGG